TAACGCTCTCCGTGCACGCCAAGGATCGCCGGCCGTATACTTCGCGGCGAGGTCTATCGATACTCTCGCGCGTCGCGCCCAACGACGCGGTTTCTCCTGCGCTCTTCTACGACGTCGTCGAGCGGATCGCGATTACGCCTTGCTTCTCAACGCTGTTTCTCGTCACAATACGCATCTCGGTCGATTATTATAAGGCTGCGTCGCGCCTCGCCGACAACGCGGTCGGAATTCCGAGGGGAATTTTTTTTTTGTTTCTACGGTCACGCCGAGTTGTAACTTTTAGGAAATTAAACGCGAGAGAAAAATCGGGGTACTTACTTTCTGACTCGAGTACGCTCTGTTCCTTGGTAGCGCCTTGACGTGAGTCTCAGCTCACGTCATTCATTGAATGGATAGAATTGGCAAGCGAGAGAAATACGGTTGATGAATCGAGTACACAAACCGGGATATAACAGCATCATTTTGCGCGACTAGGACTCCTTGGACTCTTTAATTAATAAACACCATTTTTATTTATTATTTATCGATTATTAGAAACAGAAGGGGCAATCCTATCAACGTAATACTATTGTCACATTGGTGGTTTTGCGTTAATGTCTAGAAAGAGATTCGTACGATTGCAAAATATTTCGTAATGTTGCGTCGTTATGCCGGTGTCTGTGCATAAATTATAAATATTCGTGCGATGTCGTTTTCATCAGCTACTCAGCGCTGATCCAAAATTCTTTTGTTATTTTCGCGGTTTAACGGTCCGATGGTGACCGCGTCCATGAGTTTCGATAACCGCGATCAGACACATTCTTGACATTCAAGAATGTCGCGTATTTTTTTATACGAACGTTGTTGACCAATCACCGTCACGCGCTCGCATTTATGCCTGTGCATATAATCCAAAATATGCGTGATGTAAAATTGTGCACAAAAAATATCAAGCGAGATGAAAACAATCGATGATGCTGATTAAAATAGCCGGTCAACGATGCGTCGAGAAAAGAAGATGGCAGAGTCAATACCGGAGTCGAAATTTCGTTTCTACGTTAACCCTGCAAATTCCATCAAACTCGAAGAGTTAATGAAGAGAATGCGTGTACAATATAGTCTCTTACCGACGTTGTTTCTTGCTGCTTGCTGTTGCTTGTTGCTGCTGCTGCTGCTCGATGTGACACCTACCTGTCGCATCCGCTTTGTGTCGAAACTCGAAGTTGTTTCGGAATTACTTAATATTCGCTTGATATTACACTTATTTATTTTAGTTTCTGATCTCTCTTTAATTTCAAGAAGCAATATATTAATAACTCTTCAATTTCAATAAACGATATGTTAATTACTCTTCAATCTCAATGAGCAATGTATTAATTACGCAACTTGCTCAATTACCAGATAGAGCATAGGATGAGCGAACATTGAGTAATGCAAATAAAAGTGAAAGAGGGCGAGACAAATAAACAACAATTTTTCTTTATTCTTAATCATCGTTCCGTTTTTTCTCCACAACTGGTGTTGGCCGACAGACTTCGGAGAAACCAAAGACGTAGGGGGAAAAAAGCTGTTAGGAGAAAAACAACAGTTGGTTGCCCAATAATGATGCGTATTGATAGACATTTAATTTTGTATTCGGCATAACAAGCGATAAAAACAGACAAGCGAAGAAACACGTCAGCGGACGTTAACGGACGAAATATGTAGCTCGCGACCAAGCGTTTACCATTATTGGACGAATAAATCAACACTCGCAAGACTATCATTAAACTCAAAGGCCGGCCACTCGTAGCTGTATTATTAATTACAATCTTCGATTGGAAGCATAATGAATTACAGATTCGCGTCCGTGGGCCGTTATCCGGCCGGTCGGCTCGATATTTCTCGTTATGCGCGACGAGCGGAGGTACCCGCCGCCGCCTGAAGAATAACCGGAAATTCACGGAGCTGTAATTATTCGTCGTCGTGACGACAGGCTGCGAATGTCGGCCTAAATTTCGACTCGGGTATTGCTCGATCGATTTCTCAAGTGCCCGCTAAAATCGGACACGCCACGAGCGATAAATTGCTTTCGGCGCACCTGCAATTGTAAACGACGTAGTCCACACGCTGTCCACGCTCCTGCCCGGTCGTCTCCTGCGCGGTCGTCCTGGCTCCTGGCTGCTGCGCCTCCCCCCGTCCTGGCACTTCCGACGTCCACTCATGGCGCTCACTGCCGATGCTGTCAATGCTGTCACTGACACACACTCGCGTAGGTCGACGAACTACCGCCGATGCTAAAGCCCGTGTCACACTACGGATTGAAGATCAAGGATTGCGGATTGGAGATTAGATTTCGACGAATCAACGAACTTCGGTTTTGATTTGCTTCATTCCGATTGGTCAAATATCAATCTTCAATCCGTAGTGTGACACGGGCTTAACGAGAGCGCGATCGAGTAGCGAAACGCCCGGCAGCTTCAAAGTACCGACACACGTGCTCAGCGTCGCCCGTCGGCCCGATTCGCAATGACTCGAAGTACGCGGGACATGAAACCAAAACAAAAGAGTCGGGCGTTTCCCCCACCGACCGGCGCGTGAGCGACCTAATTGCCGCCGGGGAGTCGAAGTAAACAGTGTCCCCGACACATTCCAGGACATTATTCCCTCTCGCGTTTCTAACGCCGCTCTCTTTCACGCTGCGCATAAACACTCCGTTACTCCAGCGGACGAGATTTTTCATTTTTCTCCGTGCAGCGCGAAGAGCGTTTACGGCTGATGCCGTGTTTTGATTTGTATCGAAATGCCGTCATTGGAGCGTCATAATAAAGAGAGACGAATCTGTTGTTTTCTTTGTTCCCACCTGATGACTTACTCGCATTAATTATTCAATACCGGCGTATTCTGTTCCCCACGCGCCGACGGAATCACCGAAACGTGAATCAAACAAAATGTTCGTCGCGCTAAGATGATCCCGCGCAGGATGTATTTTTCACCACCCGGCGCGATTTTTGCGCGCGAAACGGATGGAGCCGCTTAGTGGAAGCGTCGACGCTTTTAGGAATTAATTATCGCGCGGGGGACACGGTTCATTACTCACGGCGCGCGACCGTGTCGGCTCGCGGTGGTTCTGCATGCCGCGGACGGCGCATTTCGCGCGATCAATTAGGCGTCATTACGGTTGTCTCGCCGGTTATTAATTCGCATGATCGCGAACCGGCCGACGGCGCGCGGCGGAAGGAGCGCACGCGGGACGGCCGACGGTTTCTTGTCCGCCTCCGTCCGAACGTCCCGAGCGGCGTAACCGAGCAGCCGATCGTCGCGATAGCTTGTCTATCGCGTCCCAAGAGAGCCGTTAACATTCTGCCCGGCGCACCGCGAGCCGCGGAGTACATTTTGTACGTCGGCCGCTGTCGTCGGCCGCTTCGGGAGATCCCCGGGCCCGCGCGCGCATCTTCCGCGAGCTTGCCTCGGCCTCGGAGAGAAAGCGGCGTTTCCGCTAAAGTCGCGGCCGATTCGATCGGCCTTCTTGCCGATGCCGAGACACTGTCATCGCTTTATTGTCGCGCGCTTGGTTTCTTATTAATGCCGGTTTCGTATTATAGAGAGGACGAGGAGACGTCCTCAGGAGACGTTTTCACACCGCCGCCGCAGCCGCCGCCGCCGCCGCCGCTGCGGCCGCCGGCGTTTCCGCGACGCGAGAGCGCAGCAAATAGACGGCTCTCGGTAGTCGATCACTCGTCACGCTTATGCATTCCATTTCGGAAGATTTATGCCGGCGTAAAGTCTCCGCGGGACCGAGCGCCGCGAGTCGTCCTCGAGAAAGGAAGCGAGAGAGCCGCGGCCGGCGACGATCGCGACGATCTATCGATATTTCACTCGCGCGCGCGCGCGCGCGCACGCTTCAAATCGTCTCGTGCGCGCGCGCGCGCGCGGCGGTGTTGCCCAACTCATGCATAGAGTCATGACGGGTCTAAGCGATTGCTTATTGCTCGGCCGGTGTAACCAGTCGCCGCGGTGGACTGACGCACTGCCTCGAGTCCCGCTCGTTTGTTATCCGCATTAGCCGTGCGTGAACGCGTGCACACGCACAGCCGCATGAGCGCATAATGCGCGCGTATGTACGTACACGATGGGAACCGTGCGTCGTCGCGATTGTACGTCGCGTAGCCCGGCTACCGTGATACATACGTCGTGTACCTTCCGGTCCCCGGCAGCGATTGAATCAACCGGCTGCTCGCCGATGCTCTCGACAAACTCGGCGCGCTCGATTTTTCCAACAAGCTGCGCTTCTCTTCTCTTCTTTTTGCACGGCCGTCCCCCTTCGGAAGATCTTATCGCCGATTTCTTCTGTTTCTTTCTTTTTCTTTCTTCACCCAAAATAGTCCTCCGCAAATATTCGTCGCGTTTTGATCTCGGGGCCGCAGCGGGGGAGAGCGGGGGAGGAGGGAGGCGGGTTGGTTCGCGCGCTGTGTCAAGTTTTTCAAGTTTTATTATTATTGTTGGACTTTATTGTTGGATTCGAGGGTCCGGGTTAATACACAGGTTAAAGTTCGCGGAAGTTCGCCGATGGATCTTGTCGTTGAGTTCGGGATCAGGATTGACCCGTTGTGCGTCGAGTGTGTCTGTCGCTGTGAGCTAGTGATTGGTCGCGGATACTAGTCCCGTGCGGGCTTGGAACCGTAAGGTTCCAACGAGCGCGCGAACGATGACCGAACCGGTCTCTGCGCGATCAGGTGCCGCTCGAGCACGTGGAGGCAGCGCGTCGAAGGCGCCGGAAACGTCGCAGAGACGAAGCCCCGTACGGAATTGGGATGTATCCGTCGAGTCGCCGTGTGCGACTAGTTTATCCTTTTTTTTTTTTATTTTAACACTGAATTTATTTGTTATTCACTTAGTTATATAGACTTATGTATGTATAGATGCTTAGTTACAGAGGCCGTTATGTAGACTCATATATGTAGCGTGTGTGTGTGTGTGTGTGTGTGTGTGTGTGTGTGTGTGTGTGTGTGTGTGTGTGTGTGTGTGTGTGTGTGTGTGTGTGTGTGTGCGCGCGCGCGCGTGTGCATTTATGTGTGCATGACGATATATTTATAACTAATTATATAAATATATTAGATTAAGGCACTTCTCGCTACTGGCCGATGCATTCGCGACACATGTATATACATATTCGCGATACATATGTACGAAGAGGCGCTCTGCACAACGTCGATCAATCCAATGCACAATGTCCGTGTCACTGCCAGGTGTCTGTATTCTCGTCTCACTCGTCACCGATTTGCCACTATCACAAATTACCAATCGATTACCATCAGTATAGTACGTCTATCCAAATTCCCGAACTCGTTCGCGTCTGCGGACACACGTAGTCGGCGAGACCTTGATCCACCGTGCGTGCGTGCGTGCCCGGCGCCAACATCAACAACAAGTCAACTTGCCTGCCGAGGCTCAGGCATCCTTTCATCGTATCGTCAGGTCGAGAGGCGTGCAGGACCTCTGCTCGTCGTCGTTGGCCGTCTCGCTGGAGCTTTTGCTGCCCCGTATGCTCAGGTCTATCGGCTCGCTCTGTTCGTCGGCGAGGCGACCCGGGTTAGGACTAATCTGAAGACGATCACCACCCGCCAAGCTGTTCTGCGAGGTGGTCGGGGTGGCGGCAGCCGGCGCCGGGGACAGTCTACCCTCGCAAGTCGCAGAATTGAAGGTCGTGTGAATCATATCATGGTTCACACGCCCTTCGATTCTGCACACGACCCTAGTGTTAACCGGGATCCTGAGCGATATCTCATGGTCCGACGAGTACGGCGAGTTGATGCGGTTGAGTCGCTCCGAGCTGCTTCTCAGCTCGGTGTCGCGCATGCCGTCGTCCTCGGAGCTGCCCGAGCTGGACTCGCTGACGGAGTCGAATCTCCTGTATTGTTCTGCGTATCTTCTCTGCCTGATGTCGCTCAATATCTCGGTGTGCCGCTTGGATACTAGGGACCTCGGTACCATCGTCGCCGGCACGCTCACGATGCTGCCGAGCGAAGAGCTGATGGTCGCGACGTTGGACCGGATGGAGCTCAGCGGCGAAGAAGAGGTCGTCGAAGCGTTCTCCTCCGGCAGAACGTTCCTCCTGGAGGCCGCGTAGTCCTCCGCGGCCGCGGCCGCGGCTGCTTCCCGGTGCGACCCGACCTCTCCCCAGCCGCGCAGCCGGCTCGAAAGCTGCTCCTCCGTAGTGTCTTCCTCGTCGGAGCCGGTAATCGACCGCCGACACTCCTGCTCGCGAGTCAGCATCGCGAGGCTCGCGAACCGAGACTGCACCTGCTGCGCCAGCTCCTGGTTGGGCGACGACACTTCCACCCGGTTGTCACTGTGTTGATTGTTCTCGTGCTGCCGCAGCAAACTCGTCAGGTAGTTGGACGAATACGGCGCTGCGGCGCTCGCCGCCAACGCCAGGTTCTGGCTGCTCTGCTCCGCCAGCAGGCAATGGATCTTGAACCAATTGGAGCGACGGCCGTAGCGCGAGCTGGACTTGGACATGCCGACGAGGATGCACTTTCGCAGGCGGCAGGACTTGCAGGTGGTGCGGTTCTTCTTGTTGATGACGCACTTGTTGCCGTTCTTGCAGTCGGCGATGTTACCGGCGTTGTTGTACGTGCGGCCGAAGAATGACTGCAACAGGCAAGCGGAAGAAAAGCTCTCGTTAGGTCCTGGCTGTGCTTTCTCTCTCTCTCTTAGCGAGCGTTCGAGCGAGACACCTTCGAATGGGACATCGAGGAAAGAGCGTCCGCTCGAGTGATGCTTGTAACTAGAATAATAAACAGCGACGACACATTGCGACTGTTTGTTCGTTCGAGCGCCGGCAAGATGACTAATAATCTCTCTCTCTCTCTCTCTCTCTCTCTCTCTCTCTCTCTCTCTCTCTCTCCCTCTCTCTCTCTCTCTCTCTCTCTCTCTCCCTCTCTCTCTCTCTCCCTCTCTCTCTCTCTCTCTCTCCCTCTCTCTCCCTCTCTCTCTCTCTCTCTCTCTCTCTCTCTCTCTCTCTCTGTCTCTCTCGGTGCACTCCAAAGGTGGATTCTCGTTCGCGCGCGACCCGACCTCGTGCCATTGCAACCCGCACGACGAGATTAAGGATTCGCTGACGCATCCGCGGAAATTAGCGCGCGCTTAACTGATCGCTCGTTAGACTGATCTACAAACGTGCGCGCGCGCGCGCGCGTTTTTGTCGTCTTCGGCATTTCGCAAGGATCTCGCGTTACGAACGACGATCAAGTCAAGTGCCCCTCGCGCGGTCTCGCGGCCCGACCTTTCGACCCCGACGCGTCCAAGAGTCGCGGCGCGGCTCATCCATATAAATTAATCGGATTATCGAGACACACGGAGCATTATCGCGATAGAGGGCCGCGCGGTACTTTCGCGCCGGATATTACCAGATACGTCCGCGACCGCGCGGAGAAATCTCCATATGACCGAACCATATAAAGGGTCGACGGTCGGTGCCCGTGTAAGCCACGCGCGTTTCTACCGGATTAAACGTCAGGGTTTAATGTTACGCGCGTCACGTGAATTAGCATGCCTGCGCCTAGAAGAGAGGCGTGCGAGACGGAGGGGGAGGGGGCGAGCGGGAAGAGGCTGCGAGCGAGCGAGCGAGCAAAGGGCGAAGGGAGCGCAAAGACGCGACGACGACTAGGGGCAGAAGAAGGCGGTGGTGCAGGAGGAGGGGGTGGAGAAGAAGAAGAAGAAAGAGGAGGAGGAGGAGGAGATAGAGTATATACGTGGCGTGGCCGCTCGTAAAGTTAAACGCCTGTCGGCCGACGATAAAACTGCCCGGAGAAGACCCGCTGCTTCGAAAGGCGCGCGCGGTCTCGCTCGCACGGTCATCGAGCACTAATTTACGACACAGCTTTGCAGTCTTTCGCCGCTCGCACCCTCCGGAAATTTCGAGGGAGAGTGAGAAAGAGAGAGAGAGAGAGAGAGAGAGAGAGAGAGAGAGAGAGAGACGGAGAAAGAGGGAGAGAAAAAGACGCCGCGCAACGAGTCGCGTCGATCGGTTAAGCTTCCGTATTCGGGAGAAACTTCCCTTTCGATCAGCGACGACAAAACTCGCGAGCGCGATTCCGTCCCTCCTCGCCCTCCGAACCGTCTCCTCTCCGCCGCCGGTCCTTTTGTCGGTTTTCCTCCGCGGCGTGGGTCGAGCCGCGGAGGACATCTAGCCTCTCGTGGGGCGATTCTTCTTTAAGATTGAGCATAATCATGCCTCGTTAAAGCGCAGTTACCGCATGCGCCTCTCGCGTGCGGGAGGAGGGGGGGGATGGGGGGAGGGAGAGAGCGAGAGCGATATACAGGTGCTACGCGCGTTCGGACTGTTACGAGATCGCGCGGGATCTACGCAACTTGGCGTATCCGCGTTCTCACGCTTCCCCGCTTTGCCGCTACGATATTACGTCATGATCGATTAGCGCGCTCGTGCGTGTTGCGGAACAGGAGCGGAAGGTGAGGAGGCGGAGGAGTGACGCGAGCCGCAGAGAGCGCGTCGCACGCGACCACGTGGTCCTCGTCGCCAACTGCGAGAGAGGGTCTCCTCGGTCGGGTCGGAAGCCACGTGGGCGGGCGAAATGCCGAAAACTCGCACATCGACACGAGCGACGATGAGGTGTCCGCGAGCGTGACGGCGCTCTTCGAGGTGTATCTCTTTCCGGCTTCCGGAGCTGCCTGATTCACCTGATATGAATCACTCGACGAGCGTTCTCCGAAAACGGAGAAACCGGATCAGAGCCGCGCAGAGTTCGAGCGTCCGGCTGGACGTTGGACCGCTAATTGTCGTGATTACTGGCGGTTATTACAGGCGGATGAGAATGGACGCGTTAATTGTCGAAGCGGACGATGACTATATACCGGCTTGGGTCTCCAAACTCACTTCGCGACTGCGCGAAGGGGGTTGCCATTGGCGAACGATCGACGGCTTCCGCTTCGCAGATGCTCCGAGACGGCACCGAGGACACGCAGGAGACGTCTTCGCGTCTCCGTAGCCTCTGCGCCGCCATCTTGCCGCGGCGGCGATCGCACGCTAATCGCAACGCTAACACGAGCCAGTGTGAAATCGACCTGCGAGCATCACGCACGTTCGCGGCGTTCGCGAGCGTGTCAGGGAGATATCGGCGATTCACGTTCAGCGCGATCGATCGGTATGTCGCGGACGTGGCGCGCGCGCGCGCGCGCGCGTGTAATTGATCCGGACGGCGCGCCACTGCCATAACGGGCCCTGAAATCGGCCCGGGACTGGGAAAAGTGGCGACGTTCTTAAAGCGCCGCGGATGACTTTGTCTTTCGCGGGAACAGCAGCGATTGCATCGCAGGTCGCCCGGCCCAGCCCGGCGCGGCGCGGCGCGGCGGTTGAGCGCGCTCACTCGGTCAGTCAACACGAGCGACACTCGGACAATCCCGGCGAAGGGGGGGACAACGGGATTCGCGGGGGTTACGTAACACCGTCGTGCGCGCGCGCGTGTGAGCGCTCGGCTTTTCAAGTTTTTGCACAGTTCCTTGTCCGCTCGGTCGTTGGACGCAGCCGCGTACGTACGCATACGGGCAGACCATCGGTCTCAGGGATCAGCACGACGACGACGACGACGACGACGACGACGACGACGACGGTGACGTCGGCGATAACAACAACAACAACAACAACAACGGCGAAGCAACCGGTCGCGGTCCGCGGAGAACCGCGCTGAAACGCGCGCCATTTAGGGACGCGTGCGAGAGACGCTGAGATTATTTGAAATCGGACGGCACGCCCGGAATCCCGCATCGATTTGTAACGCCATAAAGGCGACGCGGTGAAATCGTCGTCCGTGATCGTGAAAAGGAGAGCGAAAAGTGTCGGCTCCGTGAGAACCAGCCAGTCGTGTCGAAAACGCGCGTCCTCGTCGTCGTCGAGCTTGGAGCGGTCCCCGAAATTACACGATAATTATGATTATTAGCGCAAATAGGGGGGGAAGCTGTCGTACTTGATGAGGTATAGACGGAAAGAGATAGATGGATCAGGTTGACATAAGAAAAATTAAAATATGCGTGAATTATGAAGAACATGAGAAAACACAATAAAATAAAAGCGAAAAGAGGACACAGATAAAGGCAGATAATGTGAAATCGCGAGAAACGTACAGCAAAGCGCAAGGATTGAAAATTAACACGCCAGGTTACGCGAATCATTTACGAATGTAAGTACACAGCAAGTTCAGCGCATACACGCTACGAAAAATGTATTGATAATTGTAACAACAAAATAATTTGGTTAAAGTATGCTCAACAAAACTGTTTAGTTCCTGTAAACAAATATCTTGTTTGATTACGGTTTGTTCGTATAACGTAATACTTTTGTTGCAGCAACCAAAAAGCTTCAACCATATGAATTTTGTCAAAAATACTATAATTTTTTCTTAATATATAAAATCTAAATTTTAGTACACAGAAAGACAAGAATAGTATCCATTGGGCATTTATTTTAGTTTATGTAAAATAATATTTCGTTATTATGTAATTTTTATGGATAAAATAACTAAAATGCTTATTTTTTATATATGCTTAATTTTTACATATGAAGTCTAAGAACAACATCATTTGGTCCAGAGAACAAAGCAGAAAAATATATTTAGTTGAGACAACTAAATATTTTGTTATACGAAACAAGATATTTGGTTGCTATTAAAAAATGCCTCAACCAAACAGTTTTGTTAGAGATACTAAATTTTTTTCCTAGTGCAGGAGTCTGCGCGGTAAATGGTTTCTTCCGCTTCAAGAAAATGATTATACAGTCGATGTTTAAATTCAGCATACGACGTCAGATCGACTAATTCGCTTGATAAGGAATTCCAAAGTAGACCGCCTGCACCGTAAAAGAAAGAGAGAGAGAGAGAGAGAGAGAGAGAGAGAGAGAGAGAGAGAGAGAGAGGGAGAGAGGGGGAGAGAGGGGAGAGAGAGAAGGAGAGAGAGAGAGAGAGAGAGAGAGAGAGAGAGAGAGAGAGAGAGAGAGAGAGAGAGAGAGAGAGAGAGAGAGAGAGAGAGAGAGAGAGAGAGAGAGAGAGAGAGAGAGAGGAAGAGCGCGCGCTGGGAATCGGCCGAGTGGTCTGCGACGACGCGTTTCTCCGGCGCGCGATGATGATGAGAATGTGACGGTGACGCGCGACGTCCGATAAGTCGATCAACGTGCCCGACGCGCGACGATAATTCGCCCCACGGGAGAGACGCGAGGCGTCCTCGCGCGCGTGAGGAGAATCGACCGGGAGCAGCTCGCGTTATCTGACCCGCCAAATGCAACGCGGGGCAAATCTTCGCTTTTCCGCGTGATCCGTCGACTCCGTCACCGGTCGCCCCGACGGTACCGCGAATGAGTCCCATCCGCCGCGAAGTCGCGGGTTTCGCGCGACGAGCTAAGTGACTCGGCAAATATACGATTGTCGCTTCGACGCGACGCGACGCGACGCTACGCGACGCTGTGCCTCGCGGAGAGCGCGGTTCGACCGAGGAAACTTTTCGGCTCGTCGGCCAATTGTTGGCGACCCGCTAAGAAATTCGACCGTCTGCGCTGAGGCGGTAGAAGGGCAAGAGAAGAGACGGGCCCGTCGCTCCGACGGAAATTTATTGTTCATTTTCTCGAGGGCACATGCCCATTATTC